TAGTCACATTGGCGAGCGTAGAGCCAAGTAAGTCTTTTGATGTGATATCACAATGGCATCCGCACTTGCTGACAGTAGCCCAGCTTCCCGGACACAAAGATCTGGGTCACGGAGTATGCCTATGCCCACCAGGATCTCGCTACCACCCAGGAGTACTACAACCAGACTGCCGATTACTTTGACAAAATCGACTACATTGAGCGGTACACTTACTTTGGCGCATTTCGTTCCAAGACGAGCAATGTTGGAGCTAACGCTTCATTCCTCAACAACGATGGCAAGCTGACCGACATTGGCTCTTGGTACTTGGGCTTCACCGCTACGGGAGTGAATCCCCAGTCTGGCAACAGCGGTAGCACGCGGCAAGGACCGCCAATGCCTGTGGCTGCCGCGGCGACGTTTGCTGCTGTTGTTTATGCCTTTAGCTTCTGATCATGATCAGTAATCTGCGAGCGAGATAGATGACGCAGGGCACATGAGAGATGTGCCGCTGCGAAGGTATTTCCAAACATGTAGACGGCTAGAGGATCAAAATGTCCCTAAAAGCTACCGACATATTTCTAATGTATTTTCTTTGGGCTGGTTTTGATCGTAGACTGGGAAGAGCATGGGTGCTTGACGACAGTCACCAACATGACTGGAATGAGAAGACGACGGGTATCTGTCGAGCATGAATATGAATGACATTTTGAACACCTGGAACATCCTGCGCAGCGTTCCCGTCTTACAAGGTGAACTTCTTTCCCCGTGCTATTGCGACAACATTCCACGTTGCCTCTGCTCTCAAGTTCATTGGTCCAGTACCACGCAAAGCTCACTCAGAGTCTCAGACAGTGGGGAGGAACCATGGCTGCGACGATGTGAGAGTAAACGATTTCTTGGAGGATGAGGCTTTAGTACCGAGGACCAAGGTGACAAGCACAGAGAGGTCCAGCCGGGGCATTTGACTTTAATAATGCACATGGCAAGGACTCTTATACAACCCAAGGCCTCGTCTGATGAGTCTTGCCGGTGTGATGATAGGAGCTGTCAATCGGCAAGACCGGGAATGGGTGCGGCAGATGGACCGAAGAACGGCACAATGCCCCAAGGGGTCCTCGAGTGGATGCAGATTGAGATCGAGCTAGCTGCTGTTAGGCATCGCGAGGGCATCCACGCCTTTGGTTAACAGATTCCATCTGCCGCGCTACTGCACCCCAGACTCCGCGGCATCCCCATTACTCGGGGCACTGGATTTCTACTGGCCGGTTCGCTGGCCGAGATGCCTCGGCCCAATTGCCTCCCCCACAGCCACTGGAAGGGCCTGGAGCGCGCGGGTCTGCGCAGTCTGGGGGCTGGGACAGGCCTACGAGGCCCGAACCCGACGCGATTGCCGGCAGCTAAGGCCAACCCCGACGCAAACCATGTCTACTTTACCGGTGCCCCCTCCTTTCATGACCAGCAACGAAACTCTCGAGCTTATTTCTCGCCCTCTCCGTCTCTCTCCTTTCTTTCAGTCTTCGAAGCTGCAAACTCGCCTTGCCCGTCGTCTTCGAATCGCATCACCCGCCCGTAATCAGCAACCATGGCCCTCGAGCGAATTGGCTCCATCGTGAAGCACCTGGCTCCAGGTAGCGCCATCAACCAGATGTACGTGCTACTACTCCCATGTGATGGTCGCTCACAGCGATCCGGACTTCGTTCGGCTTCTCGACCAAAAAGTCTCCGACCCCGAAACTGACAACATACCCTTCTTCTGCGTAGCCAGTCCAAGAACCCCGATGATATCGTCATTACGTTAGCTATCCGCACTCCGTTGGCCAAGGCCAAGAAGGGTGGCTTCAAGGATACGAGCCTCGAGTACATGGTCTACGCCCTCCTGAAGGAGGTTCGCGAGCGATCCAAGATTGAGCCTGCAGCGGTGGAGGACATTCGCATGGGAAATGTGCGTACCAACCTGTTCTTCCCGAACCCTTCCGACCCGGAAACACTCCCGCTGACTCTGCCGTTCTCCAGGTCTCCGATGGCAAGGCCGCCTACAAGCTCCGCGCCGCCGCCCTCGCGGCTGGCTTCCCAAACACCGCCGGTGCTTCCTCCATAAACCGATTCTGCTCTTCCGGCCTCCAGGCCACCGCCGATATCGCCAACGCCATCACCACTGGCTCTATTGAGGTCGGCATCGCGCTCGGCGCCGAGAGCATGAGCATTGGCGGCGACGCCCTCGAGAAGCCCTTCGATGACGCCGTCGTCAGCCAGTCCCAGGAGGCGGCCGACTGCATGCAGCCTATGGGCTGGACCTCGGAAAACGTTTCGCACGACTTCAACATCACCCGCGAGGAGATGGACAAGTACGCCGCTGAGAGTTTCCAGAGAGCCGAGAGGGCCCAGCAGGCTGGCCTGTTTGACGATGAGATTGTGCCTATCAAGACCAACGTCGTTGGACCTGACGGAGAGACAAAGGAGGTTATCCTTACCAGGGACGAGGGCATCCGTCCGGGTACCACCGCCGAGAGCTTGGGTAAGATTCGGGCGGCTTTCCCGCAGTGGGGTCCCACGAGCACGGGAGGCAACTCTAGCCAGGTTACTGACGGAGGTGAGTTCTGTCGTCCCAAAAACCGCCCTAAACTCAATTTATTTTGGCATACTGACTTTGTGGGAAGCTGCCGCTGTGCTTCTGATGAAGCGTTCCACCGCCGTCAAGCTCGGTCAGCCCATCCTGGCCAAGTACGTTGGCTCCACCGTTGCCGGCCTGGCTCCCCGCATCATGGGTATCGGCCCGTCTGTTGCCATTCCCAAGCTGTTGGCTCAGCACAACCTGTCGCTCGCCGACATCGACGTCGTCGAGATCAACGAGGCTTTCTCCAGCATGGCCGTCTACTGCCGTGATAAGCTCGGTCTTGACTGGGCCAAGATGAACCCCCGTGGCGGTGCCGTCGCACTGGGCCACCCTCTCGGCGCCACCGGTGCGAGACAAATTGTTACTGGTTTGAGCGAACTCCGCAGGACAAAGAAGAAGGTCCTTCTGACTAGCATGTGCATCGGCACTGGCCAGGGTATGGCTGGCCTGTTTGTCAATGAGGTCGTGTAATATACCGGTTGATAATGTACGAGAAATATCAGAATGGAAATGAGTGTATGATTACTGCGTTGGGAAGTGTCTCTTCGATGATTTTTCTCAATTGCTTGTTTGACATCGGACTTTGGTCTAAATGGTCTAAATCTCTGCAAGACTCCCAATCAAGCCTCCAGATCAGCTGTGAATTAATCCCCAAGTCACAAACAGCATCCGCTCGTTGTTGCTGCACTGAACAGTACCCTGCAACCCCAGCTTCCCGCTTTGCTCCAACACCGCGTATCGGTTGGTGTAGAACCGGATGTCGTTTGTCCCAATTCTCATGGGACTCGCTGCGCTTCCGGTGTCGGCGTACCTCGCAGTGAAGCTACACGTTCCAGAGCTGGCGACACGAGCCCAACCGCCTGCAAAGTCGCCTGGCTGCAGGGTCCAGAAACCGTTTCCCAGAGCGTTGGCGAGGGCCTTGCAGTCTGCCGCCAGTGGTGCCGAAGTCGAGAAGTCTGTTGTTGGGTCTTGGGCTAGTTCACCGCACCATTCGTCTCTGCCGGCAGAGAACGGGAACCGCTTCGTCAGCCGGACTGGGCGGGTACCTTCTGACCCCCGAGTGAACTTCAGTCGTCTGTTGATGTAGATGGTTGAAGTAGTTCCGTCGGCTTGGGTAATGGTCCGAGGCACCATGTCCGAGAGGTCAACTCTGGTGGCAGTGACCAGAGAGAAAAGACCAAGGGTGACGACCCATAGCAGGACTTTGGTGAGCGAATGTGTGACCATGTTGAAGGTTCTGAATAAGTAACGAATGAAATATTTTATTATGAGTTGAGTAATTACAGGCTTCCAGAGACTGAAGGGTGAGTTGCTTGATAAGATGAGAGAAAACAACGCGCAAGGGAATGATCGCTTATATGTTAATCGCGACAAACGCCAGGCGGACGAGAACCCCGACGTGAAGTGGGCACAACCAAGCACGAACGATACTACTGCGCACATCACTGTGCAATGTCATCTCAGTCAGTTTAGCAATTTCGCCAATGGCCATGCCGTCTGCACTCCTTCGCCCGAGCTGACAAGCGTGTGCCAACTCCTGCAGGAACCGTGGTTACAGGGCCAAGGCGAGTGATTCGTCAGAAATGCACACATGCAAGCCACGGCCCCCGCAACCATTGATGAATGAGACGGAGCTTACATTGTGATGTCGGTGAAGAAGTTTTCTCGCGATGCCGTTGGGTCGGCGGGGACCCCCCCCCCCCCTCCTTTCTGAAGTTTAAGTGATGGGGCCGGAATGTGATGTGACGAGAAACGGCCCCCGAAGGGGGCGGGGATTGGCACCGGAAGCGCCCAGCTCGGGGGTGACATCAATGCGGCACTTGAACGTCACCCAATCACAACACACGGCGGGGCTTGTTGGTTAGGCTCGGGATCTACGGGCGTCAACTTGTTCTGCCGGTGACAGAATGGCGCTGTGATTGCATGATCACGTTGGACCTGTGGATCGTGGTGATTGACAGGTTGACGACAATCTCAGATTGGCTGTGTGCGGGGCCAGGCTTCAGGTTCTGGATCTCGCGCATCCTTGTGAAATGTCCGGGGGGCTAGACGCAACCCCCATGATCCGATGTCGGGATCATGTTCGCATGGATTGCTTATGGCTGGTCGGCAATATTGCTCTTATGGTGCACATAGAATATGGAGTTGCTGTATCAGGCCACCCGGTGATGGTGGCTACTGGAATGTGACGTTCTCACACTGCCGTCGTACAAGAGACAAAGCAAACATTGAATCAGCAAGTTTTGTGTTAGGGAACACGCAATGATGGGCAGCCTTGGATGCTTGGTGAAAGGGTTGCTGTTGACGGTTACATACCTATCCGGCCCTCCTGTTCGGGATTGCGCCGTAGAGATGCAGTGTCATCCGGCTCGGCCTCGCCCGTGTCGAACGACACAAGATCAGCCTAGGCCACACGAGCAACGTCGGCCTCGAGGTTCGAGACGGCTTGCCTTACTGCGTCCATCCCGTCGACGTCATCCTCGAGAAACCTGGTGGCTTCGTATCGGTGCGGCTGGCCTTCGGCGAGAAACAGTTTGGCCTTGTCTTCTCCCAGACATCCAACCATGTGAGTACTGACGGCGAGATCGACGTCCTCGTCTGAGTTGCCTTGGATTATGGTCGTCGGTGGCCAAGCTGCGACCTTGTCTTTAGCACTTGCTTCTTTGGCCCATTTATATCCCGGGTCAATATCTCCGACGAGCCCAGGGAACTCGTTCCTATACACATAGTAATCGTAGAGACACCTGCGGGGAAACTCATCGGTGTTGCCATCTTCTGTGATAGGAACCGTGGTGACATCAAAGTTGGCGTTCTTGGTCCCGTCAGGTAAGAGCTTGTCGAGATGAAAGACTTGGGGGTTGTTGGCCGATGTAGTTCCCACAGAGACGGCTGCCGCAAGATGGTGCGACATTTGCGATTCAGTGATGGGCTCTGGCGTGAGCAAGACTGAAGAGTTGAAGAAGCGATGGCGGAAGGTGGTGATACCGGTGACTGAGAGCAGTGCAATGGGGGACGGTGTGAAGTGGTGGGCGGTCAGAGAGGCCATGAAGAACCCTATTCGACGGTCAGCTATCCGACGGTCACAGACATGTCTCTGCCATGTGCTGCTCACCAGCGCTCCCTCCGCCGACAATGACCTTTCGTTCAACAGCATTGCTGGACGCGCCTAAGTGTCGCGCGAATTTGTATGCTGCTCGAGCATCCTCAAGCAAGCCCGAAGATTTCACCTGTGGAAGCAGACGATAGCTTGCGCTTACCAGAGGCCATTTGTTTCTGAAGCAGACCTGGGGTTGCTGTCAGAATGAGACGGTGCACGCAGTGAGACGATGCAGGACTCACCTGTGCAAGCCATGGTGGTACACAAGATCTGGAGCCGGTGACTAGACCCCCCGAGTGGAAGTACAGGAAGACGGGTGAGGTAGCGGGGTAGTGCTCGGCCGGGTAAACGTCGCACTCGAGGGGGATAGTGTGGCGAGCAAAGACACGCTTGGTCTTTGTCAAGCGATGGGCGCCACGCAGTGCTTGGGATGAAATGCTGTCTCAATGCGTGGGTTGGTAAATAACACCAGACGGAGCGATGGCAGGCTTAAGCTGAATTTCACAGAGGGTGGCTGGGCATTTTGTGGTTGCACGAGCAGGCAAGGAATCGCCTGACGGACCTGACAGTGACATATTTGGACAGCATTGTAGAAGCCACCGTGGCGTTCATCATGAGATGTAGCTGAGGAGTTGTGGTTGGTTGGTTGGTTGGTTGATTGGATGTCTTGTCATGTTCAGACCTCATGCCCGCTGCGGGGCCTACCCACCATCGAAGGATTACCTAAGGAATGAACAAGTCTTTCCAGAGAAAAGCTGAAGTACGTCGGCTCCTCCTTCGTTATCTAGACGACCGGAGAGGACTCGAGATCGGTGGTGCAGCGCTCTGAACCCCTCTATGATCGGCATGAGGTGGCCGGGAGGGGGGCTGAGAGTTTCCCGTGGGTAAGTGCGGCGACAGACCGGCGCTGGGCCGATGGATTTGAAGAAAAGGGTCGGAGAGGGGCCGGGGAGCGGGGTAGACTGGTGGCTCCACCGTTTTTTCTGCATTGCAGCTGTGAGAGGCAGCAGGGTGCATGCATTATCTTACACAATTCGAAGGCGGTGTGTCTCTTTGGGCCTAGCGCTCGTGTTCGGCGCGGATGGATTTTGCCGATACCCCGGCCGGTCCAAACACTGCAAAGCCAACCTAACCCAGGAAGGGAACATGGCAATTAGTACGAAAAATTGATGTCACTCCCCGGTTTGCTTGGTCTTTGCTCAGCGACTGCGGAATGCTTAATCCTTGCAGAAAAAAAAAAACACACACACGCACCTTCGCCCGCCGACCGCTCTTAACCCCCCCAGTCGCAGTTGCAGCCGCAGCCGCAGTCGCAATCGCGCAGTCGACGCCGAAAGCCCAGCAGCACATCTTTACCTCGCTCTGGGCTGCAAGGTCCCTTGGCCGTCGCCTCCTAGGTTCGGACAAGATCCTAACTCGCCAATCCATGCCCCAAAAGATTTGATCTCTGTCGCCATCGCCTGAACAAGGGACGAGTCAGCCAGCGCTGTGACAAATCCTCTTACCATGGTCTGGCCTGGCATCCCACCACCGAACTGATACAAGCCATCCGTCAACCGTCTGTATCACCGTCTTTTCCGTCACGTCTCCCGTCTGTGGTGTCTTCTTCCTTCCGTCTCTACCCGCCGCCCGACCACCCATCCTTCGTCACCTCGTGCAGACGCTGGACCCTGAGACGTTTGCTGCGACTGCAACCTCCCGGGAACACACACCTGCGAGGTCTTTGTTGGTTGTTGACGACGACAGAAGCATAATCTCCGAATCCATCTAGTCTCTACAGTCAGCCTCGTCGCCCCGCCAATTCGACTGTCGTCATTTCGCATGTCTCCCGCCGCATTCCCGTAACCACGTCTTTTCTTTTTTTCTGTGCTGCTCTCTCGGTTACGAAGCGAAAATGTCAGGCGGCCGGCCACAACCAAACCGCAGTCCTTCTTCACAGCAGCACCTCCCCATGAACCCGAGCGGCCTGCGCCAGAGCTACACCATGGGTTCACCGCCTGTCCAGTCGCCCGGCTCTATCGGCGGCGAGTCTGAGTACATGAGCACTCGCGAGGACGCGACTCCTCTGGCGACACCGCTCCCCAACGAGAGCGATAGTGGTCGAGATACCCCGCGCGCCGGTTCCAGCCTCGGTCGACCAAACACTTTCCCTCCAAGCGAATCCACGAGCCTCCTGCAAAATGTCCTCATCGATAACTCCGCGCCGACTAGCTACACTCATGGCACTTTTTCGCCCAGGCCTACTAGTCCTACGGGCAGCGCCCGCAGCGCTGACATGGACCGACCGTCCTCCTCCGCCTCCTCGATCCCCATCCTCGATTCGGTGCTTACGACCATTACCGGCGACGACCACTGGAGGAAGCGCTTCATCAGAAAGTTGAAAAGCAAGAAGATGACCTCGTCCAGGACGCTGGCAGAACAAGCTGGATTCAAGGATACCGTGTGGATGTAAGTCGCCGCCCAGCATGCCTCTCCTACAGGACCAAACTAACCATGATTGCTCCCAGGTACCTCTCGTACTACATTCCGCTACTTACCTGGCTGCCTCAATACCAATGGTCCTACTTGAAGGGAGATCTCGTCGCAGCGCTGACGCTTGCCTCTCTATACCTGCCGATGGCCCTCTCCCTCGCCGACAACCTCGCTCACGTCCCGCCAATCAACGGCCTGTATGCGTTTGTTTTCAATCCCTTCATCTATGCCATCTTTGGAAGTGCGCCGCAGATGGTCGTCGGACCTGAAGCCGCCGGGTCTTTGTTGGTCGGTTCTGTGGTCCGAGGCAGCATCGACCACGACAAGGACGAAGAATACAACGCCGAACTACAGGCGAAAATCTGCGGTGTGGTTGCAGGCATGGCTGGAGCCACCGTCTTGCTGGCTGGTATCGCGCGTCTTGGTTTCCTCGACAGCGTGCTCAGTCGCCCGTTCTTGCGCGGCTTCATCTCTGCTATTGGCTTCGTTATCGCGGTCGATCAGGCCATCCCTGAGCTCGGTCTCGCGAAGTACGCGGGGGAAACTGGTGTTGGCCATGGTAGCAGCATGGACAAACTGGAGTTCATCTTCACTTCCTTCGACCATGTTCACAAGCTTACTTTCATCGTGGCCGGAGTCAGTTTCGTGATCATGATGGTAATGCGTGAGCTCAAGAAACACATGACGCCGAAGTATCCCGGCGTCGCTTACATCCCGGATCGATTCTTTGTCGTCGTCGTTGCAGCCATCCTGTCCTGGCGTTTCGATTGGGCGAGCAAGGGAGTTGAGATTCTCGGACCCGTTAAGGCCGCGTCCGGTCATGTCTTCACCTTCCGCTGGCCCTTCCAAACATCGCATATGGAACACATTCGCGAGGCCATGGGCACCTCTTTCTTGATTGCTCTGCTGGGCTTTTTCGAATCTTCCGTCGCGGCGAAGAGTCTGAGCAGTTCCGACAGCTTGCACGGCATCCAGCTCAGCCCCAACCGAGAGCTTGTAGCGTTGGGTGCTGCCAACGTGGTTGGCGCTTGTTTCATGAGTTTGCCTGCCTTTGGTGGTTACGGCAGAAGCAAGTTGAACAAGCAGACTGGCGGCAAGACACCCATGAGTTCGATCTTCCTCAGCGCCATCAGTCTAGCAGCCATCATGTTCTTGTTGCCTTACTTCTACTATCTACCCGTAAGTTAACACCCGTACACCATCGCGGAATGACAACCCGAACTAATCCTGGCAGAAACCGGTCCTGTCATCCATGATTTCTGTTGTTGCCTACTCATTGCTCGAGGAAGCACCCCACGATATCGCCTTCTTCCTGCGCATTCGCGGTTGGACCGAGCTGGGTCTGATGACCATCATCTTCGTATCTACAATTTTCTACTCCCTCACTCTGGGTATGGCCATCGGCGTCGGCTTGTCTTTGCTCCAGGTCATCAAGCACTCGACTCGCCCGCGCATTCAGATTCTTGGTCGCATCCCTGGTACGCATCGATTCGAGAACGCCGAGTTGAACCCTGATAGACTAGAGTTTGTCGAGGGCTGCCTCATTGTCAAAATTCCGGAGCCTTTGACTTTTGCCAACACGGGCGAGCTGAAGGCACGTCTCCGACGTTTGGAGCTGTACGGCACGAGCATGGCTCATCCCGCGCTTCCAAGGTTGCGTGGCGAGCATCACAACAAGAACGTCATCTTTGACATCCACGGTGTTACATCCCTAGATGGTTCGGGCACTCAGGTGCTTGAGGAGATTGTGCGAAGCTATAGAGAGCGCGGCGTTAGAGTGTTCTTCAGCCGTGGACCTACTAACCCACGTCATCACATCTGGCGGCTCATGCGCCAGTCTGGCATCATCGACCTCGTCGGCGGCGAGTCTCATTTCGTTACGGACGTGCAAGAGGCCCTCAAGTTGACCGAGTACGAGCACAGCATCAACGAAGCCAACAACCCTTAGATGAGAAAGAGAGCGAATTTTCAGCGCTGCACATACGGATCGATGCATAGATAGGGCGTTTGGTTTTCTGGATCGATGCGAGATGGGGCACCACTACGATCTTTGGTTCTCGCACATCTGTTAGTTTCACGACGTCAAGCGTGTCATGTTTACAATGAACTTGTACGACAGCGGGTTTATAGATCGTAGAATTCAAAAGCGATGCATTTGTTGGTCATACATCAACTTTATCTCACACATCCCCTGTGCAAGGCTTTGGTGCCACACCCGCCCGTGTCTAACCACCCTGGCGCGTCTGGACTAAGAGTGAGGTACTCTGCACGTTTCCTCTTTCCCAGACAAGCCGTCTGATTTCAAGCAGTCGAGGCAATTAAACACTCGCCTCTGTTGGATGATTTTCCTCGCCTCTTTTTCCACCTCACTTGCCAGATTGCGATTGATGTATCGGTTCGACCGACACTGGCACACACCTACTTCTCTCATGCAAGGGAAATCCTTCATTGAGATCTTCTGAATGCTCACTGCCGTATCCAGGAGGTTGCAGAACTTATGTTTTGAAAAGTCAATGTCCCTGGGAAGCAAGTCGGACTTGTGGAGGGTCTCTACGTAGTACCCAAGAGCCTTCGACGCCCTGGAACAGGCTGCGTCTGACGTGTCCCAATCCCACATCATTGGGCAGATGACGCCTTTGTAGAACGAATTGCAGGACTCATGTCTTTTGATCTCGAGGCACTCTGGCTTGCGGTTAATCATCATAATTAGGTCTAGGATGGGGGGTGTACCTACTGATGATGTCGGTGTGAAGCAAAGGATGGTCCACGAGCATCTTCACCTGCTCTGATCCCGTCGAGAAGGGACCTTCATGGTATAGGAATATCCGCCATGAAATTTCCGAAAACTCAACTGGAAGGTCTATCACATAGGCGAAAACCAACAGATGGCAAAAGTCGCTCATCGGGGGAACCTCGTCATCAAACTGTTGGAGCCAATCCCTGATCCACACGATGCCGCAGTACTTGAGGGCGTTGATGCATTCGTACTTATCGCAGATATATGCCAATTTCTCTAATGACATGGGCTTCGGAATCTCTGGGACGTAGACGTTGTGAAGAATCTGGCACAGTATCGACATGGCTTCTACATCGTCGTCTGGGAGCTCCAAGTCGTACGGCTCTGGTCCGGTCTTTTCGGCGAGTTCGGTCCCTTCTTTGAATTTCCCTCCCAGCATGGCTTTGAAGACAGGCGAATTAAGCTGTAACACTTTTGAAGAAACTCGCAACTCGTCGTTTTGCAGGGTTTCGTCTTCATCTTCAGCTTCTGCATCCGCATCGGCCAGTCTCATTCTGCTGAGCGTCAGGACGAGGTCGCCATCAACGTCGATTTCGTGCCTGTTGGCCATCCCGAAGCAGTTCATTGGCGAGCGAATGCGTTGAATAAATTTAAGCTTGGCGGAAGACTTCAGTTTTCATGGCGACTTTGGTCATTGGGAAGAAATTTCATCACCTCAGGCCCGTGTCCTTACGGCTTGAGCCTCCTTGTGTCAGCGTTACGACCCCGCGGGGCTGATGGCGGGATCTGTTGGTGAACGGGCCCCCCCAAGTGCCTCTGGTATGAAGTAATGTTGCTCTGCTTGTCCGGGAGTCCCGGTCGTCTGATGTTGTCACTTTCTGGCACGTGATACCTGAATCGGAGCCACACAATAGCATAAGGATGTTGAATGGATCACCGCAAGGGATCTGCCTCCAAATAGTGTCTACATACGCAGACATCAGGCTCGGGGAGAAACAACCTAAGAGTAACGGGATATAGCACAGAAAAGTAGCAACTATTGCGGAAGTATCAAGCGTCCAGAAACGGTATTCACCGGCGACTGGTACTGGTTCATTCGAGGTTTCCGTGAAATAGCAATGATCTGCCGAGGCATTCTGACTATGTGTTGGAAATAAACCGAGGAAGGTGACGTTGGCAGCCTGGAGAGTGGTAGTGGAGTACGAGAACTACTCGAAGAATAAGTCCAATGACAGAGGTTGTGCATCACCAAATGTCAATACTCTATGACATGGTAATATGAACGATCCTCGTCAAGAGATACCCCGAACCGAGGAACGTGCAGGTCAATCAATCCCGCCCGAGGAAAGGTAGCCTTGCGGGACCATGCGGGGATCTTACTTTGCTGACGGAGTGTTCCTGGCGGGAACGGGGTAGCTTTTTGCCAGAATGGGATAGTATTGTTGGTACGGGAGCTTTCTGAAAACCTAGATCGATTGGTGCGATTAAATTCCATGGGTTTCATAGCACCCCGGGGGGCTTGAAGACGAACATTCCGATCTATTCATGCTGTGAACACCTACCATTCGCACGCAGTCCTTCTAAGCTGACCATTGCCAAGATGCACCATCTCGTGAGAACGGTAGACGACAGTACTACCCTTGACTAGAGCCAACTTTGAAAGTCATCATAGCTTCGGAAAGAAATCAGTCGCAGCGAAGGATAATCATGCCGGACGATCGTGAATAGGATGGACAGCTAGGCCGCTAGGCGGATATCTCACACATTTCCTTGGCCGGCCGAGATTCTCCGCTGTTGTTATGCAGCGCATATTCAAGACACGAGCGAGGACCAGATTTGACCGCGTGTCCAATACATAAAAGACGCGTTCAATCTTGCTGAAAACTTCCACATGGGGATCAAATATCCAAACCTAGACTCCACAATGAGAGTCTCTTTTGCATTGCTGGTTGGTCTAGTATTCGGTGCTCTGGTGCGCGGCGGCGGTGTGGAGGTAACTATCGTCCACGGTCGACCGCATTGCACAGTCACAGCCAAAGGAAACAAGCAGAGTGATGTCGACAATATCCTGAACGCCTTTGATCGATGCGGAAATTCGGGGAGCATCATATTTCCTAAGAAGCAGAACTATTGGATTGATCAGAAGCTGAACCCACACGTGAAGGATGTGCAGATCCAATGGAGAGGAGAATGGAAGGTAGGCACACATCTACGCTGAACGATACACCTTTCACTGATGCTGCGTAGTTCTCCGACAACATCACCTACTGGAGGTCGAACTCCTACTTCATTGAGTTTCAAAACCATCGCGCCGCATTCATCCTGACGGGAGATGGAATCCATATTGATGGTCATGGAACTGGAGGCATTCATGGGAATGGTGATACGTGGTACACTTCCGAAGCAGGCGAAACGATCGAAGGACGTCCTATGGTAAAGATTGAAAGCCTCGAATCCTTCTTACTATTTTTTCTTTCCTTTTCACTCACGGGAAATCAGCCTTTCGTGTTCTGGAACGTTAGCGATGTGTCTGTTCGGAACTTCCACATTAAACAGCCTCAGTTCTGGGCTTACAACATCATGAATGGGACAGACATGGTTTTCCAGAATATCAGTAGCAATGCCACAGCGACTAAGGCTCCTGGGCGATACAATTGGGTCCAAAATACTGACGGTTTTGGTGCGTTATCCAGAGGATTCCTCACGAAGGACTTAAAAGACTAATAAGGAGTCTTCAGATACCATGGATGCGCGCAACATTAGTGTCAAGGGATTCGAGTACTCGGGCGGAGATGATTGCGTCGCTATCAAGCCTCGATCGTACGACATATATCTGGAAGACGTTACTTGCCATGGTGGTAATGGCATTGCTATCGGGAGTCTTGGGCAGTATCTCGAGGACTCAAGCGTGGAGAACGTGACGATGAATAACTTACAGGTACTCGTGGACAGATGCTGATCTTATCAGTGACTAACTGTCAAGCAGTTGAAGCGGTCATCAAATGATTTACGCATTGGGGTCTACATCAAGACATGGATTGGAGAGCTTGCACCTCAAGATCACTACGAAAGTGCCGGCAAGCCACGAGGAGGTGGCTGGGGCCGCGTTCGAAACATCACGTTCGCCAACGTCTACTATGAAAATGTCAACAACGCGCCCTCGATCAATCAAAACAACGGGAACAATGGCTCCTTTGCCGGAACGAGCAATATGGAGGTTTCAGACGTCGACTTTCTCAACTTCACGGGCACGTTATCAGGTTCTACAAATCGCGTCAGTCTTTCGTGCAGTGCCAGACATAAATGTGGCAACATCAAGTTCGAGGATATTGACCTTCTCACGTCGAGCAACGTAACAACCACTTGCACAGGAAAGTGGACGTTGCAGGATACTGTGACAGGACTTCCGGGATGCTAAGTCAAGGTATTCAAGCAATGGGCTGTTCCCGCATCTAAGGGCAATCTAAGGATAAGCAGGATGAGTTCTTAGGATTGCATTAATGATTTATATTTATTCACTTCGCTCTAGATAGCGAGGCATATATAAATAAATGCACTTGGATAGAAAAACAGTCAACCGTTGTTGCCCCAATACTTTTATTACATGATGCTATCGGTGAAGTTTTAAGCATCGGTATCTTCAGCTATATCCTATGTGTCCGACAGACCGAACGCCGCCATCTGACCAGCTGTCAGTTCTCCGTGCCTACGTCGCTGCCAATTGATCCCTTGTCCAGCCTTTCTTGATTGCCGAGCTCTTTTAACCTCGGCTTTGCTAGACACCAAGCGACCCTTGCTGCTAGGGGTCGGAGTTACCGTCTCTTCTGACGAAGACACTGATACCCTAGGCTTGCCTGCGTGGATGATCTGCTCGCATTCATCAACGTTAGAAGGCTCTTCGGAGGATCCATCCGTGTATGGCTCTTCAATGTCAATGGGTTCCAGTGACTGACCTAGACATGCGAATTGATTTGGAGTCTGACCAGAATGTCGGTTCAAAGGTCGGATTGGTTCCTCGCCAAGGGAATTGACGGTATCTGCGTATCGAACATGAGGTTTTGAAGGATTTGAAGCAGTGCCTCGTTTCCTTCTGTCCCTTTCCTGAACGATCTTGCGCTCAACCTTGTTGGCTTCAATACGAACCAGGATCTTTTCCCTCAACTTTTCGTTCTCCTTCTTCTGCTCCGCAATTTCGAGCGCATACTTCTGTGCATCGCTGAGGTTCTCCCTTGGGTCCCACCTCTCAACAGGCTTGCGATCTTTGGGGACGAGAGTCTCTTTGCTCATCTTCTTTCTGTCGGGGACGCGGTACACTTGGATAGATTCGAGAAACTCCGCGAACGTGTCGATGCGCTTTCCATCCCACGTCATGGTCTGCGTCTTGTATCCACCATTGATGAACTTATGAGGTGTGTTGGTGACAATACTGGAGTTGATCTTGTTCTTCCCTGGAGCTGCCTTGGACATGACCGCCTTGTTCCTTACATCGCGGGTCATCTCACCGTCGGGGGTATGCATACCAACAAAGCCTGCTAGGCACAGCTGGCTGAGGTCGGTACAGGTCGAGTGAAGCTTATCTTGAAGGAAACAAGCAACGTCATCTGCACTGTCACTCTTGCACTCGGGGAATGACGAAATAGCCTCGTGAGCTGCCTCGGCAGTCTCTCCCTGCCCACCAAGAATCACGCGGTCCAGACCACCGACATGCTCAGCCTCCTGGAGGACGACCTGGGTGATGTATGGCATGGAGCTTTTGGTCATGCCGACAGCGGCTCTGTCCTCAGGCGAAAGATTGTTCCACGGGCGAGGAGTAGCCTTCCCGAAAGGAAATACAAAACGAACGTTGGGGAATTGTTCGCGGAGGGTCTTGTGATTTTTAGTCAACTTCTCAGAAAGGACCTTGGTCTTTAGCTCCTCGTCGGTGGTTTCCTTGAAGCGATGAAGGAACACAACGATGTGAGTATGCTGATAGCCGTCGGTTACATCGTTGACCAGCGGCCTGGTGAGTTGCTGACGAAGAGACATTTCGACTGGATATCGGCAGGATTGATGATTAATAGAGTGTTGTTGATGTTCTTGGTTAAGCAGAGGTGGAAGATTCAGAAATGTCTCACAGGACGAAAGCTGGGTTGTTATAAGATACTGGTGGGCCTTCTCCAAATGTCCCTCATATTTTGGACCTCTTTACGTTTGTTTTTTCAAACTTTCTTTTACCGCGCGAATCTGGACCGTCAATGGAATTACCTACCTGATAGATGCCGGTGGATGGCACGCCTTGCGACCTGTGAAGTGGCCCGTGCTTTGGAGGGCCTCCTGCATCTTGTCTCGATGCAAGTGCTTTCATTGGCCTGCACCGTTGAACTCATGTCTTATTCCCTTGTTATTGAAAAGAACTCTGAGACCCTAGAAGGTCCTTGAGTGAGCCACAATGATGTCGCATGCATGGCTTGGAGAAGAGGTATGGAGAAACAACCGAAGCACGCTGAAGCGCGCTTCCAGGACCTTGATGGCTGAGGTGAGCCATCAAATCATTAGGCATGGCTGTCATAGTAGATATTGTCGTCGTATTTGCTTCGATTATCATGAGGTTACTGGGAGGGCGTATTAGAT